ATCGTTAAAAATTATTTTTTTATTTTGTACAAACAAAATAAATATATTGAAAAATATAAAAACAATAAAAAATTATACTTCAGAAGTTAATTTAGTATCAAAAACGTAAAATATTTGAGTAGTCCAAGACATAGCCAAAGATTACAGTGCCACAGCACTGGCGAAAATTTAAATTTGTCAACTGGAATTCTTTCGGATACCCGACCTTCGGATAAACGACGCTCTACTGTACATATAAAAATTCCAGTATCTCCTTATCCCCTAAGACACCTTACTAACAGTGAGATTGTTTACTATGTAGAAGCCACATCTAGGAAACCTGAAATGCATCTGAAGAAACATACCACAGCAGTCTCCTAAAATAAGTCTATCACTGAGCTAGCTAAGTTAGCATCCCAGGAATACTATACACCATTTTCGGATGACATTTGATTCCAAATAAAATAATATAAATTATACGATAAAGTATACCCAGGAAGTTAGCATAAGCAATAACAATAAAAATAGACACATTGTATAAATGGGGGTTAGGTCAATATGAGGACACATATCCAAGATCATATCTGGTGTGAAAAGGAAGTTGCAGATATTTTTTCAGTGGTCAGAGTACACTAGAGTTGGAAAGTTGATAGGCTGTAAGCTATGGATAAAGAAGGATTCTCAGTAGAAGGTTGTGGTAATATCTGCAACTTCTTTTTCACATCAGATATGATCTTAGGTATGTGTGTGTCCTCATATTGACCTAACTCCCATGTATACAATATGTCTGTTTTTATTGTTATTGCTTATGCTAACTTCCCAAGTATATTTTATCTTATAATTGGACTGCAATTTGAAAAAATTGTAGACCTATAAATTTCCACTGTCTGTCTGTACGGCCTTCCTTAATCTCAAGAACAGAGTTAGATAGATGAAAGTCAAGACCAGATATAGAAAGATTATGGGCAGGAGACCCCGATTAACTATATATGAACTTCAGATGCAAATTGGATATCATGTTATTTCAATTCAAATATTTTTCCCTGAAAGGTATTAGATAGATGACTGGCAGGACTATTATTAAAGGAAAAGTATGATATACAAGGGCAAGGCACTACTAATTTAAGATGGCAAGCATAAATTTTAAATTAAATAAATTAAACAAAATATGATTAAAAATTGCAACCCAGCAATGTGACAATGTCACAATAAATAATTGCTCATTTATATTATTTTATTTTATTGTACGTGGTATTTATTATTTTTTCTCACTTGTTTATAATGTGTTTGCTTATTATTATTTACATTCACTTCATGACTGTCACTTCTGATGTACAAACTTTGTCCAACTTTTTAATTTAAAATTTTATGTTCTGTTCTTTTCCATTTTGTTTGATCCTAAAGAAGAT